TTCTCTCCTTTTTGTCCACCACATACTTGCTCATGGAGCCAGGTGGGCCTGGAGATGTCATCCCACCATCATGTCTTGAAGATGCAGGCTGATCTGTGGGTGGCTTATAACCACTGACAACTAAGTGTTTGGAGTCACTAATTTGTTTTGTAATATGGCATACCTTGATTATTATGATTCATACCCAAGTAGACCAATAATATTATTATTAATACAGAAATCAACTTAATAAATACAGCAATACTTCAATATTGTCAAGTCACAATAAATAGAAATCATCACAAAACCTTAACTTTTTTTCATTGTTACTTGTAAATAAATCAGCAACAGTTGGTGTTGGGACTTGATTTCAAACTTCTCACATAGGGACATTTTCTAAAGTATTACAATGAAGAACAGGCAAAGAGCTGTGAACTACCAGGATCTCTATTATTCTACGGAAGAAAATTACAGATACTCTGGAAAACATTGCATGGGATGCACTCTCTCTCTCTCTCTCTCTCTCTCTCTCTCTCTCTCTCTCTCTCTCTCTCCCTCCCTCCCTCCCTCCCTTCCTCTCTCTCTCTTTCTGATGCATGCATGCGTGTGCGCACACACATTAAACTTTGATGCTTGTGCATGAGAGTTTGTTTACTATCTGATTTAAGTTGATGAAATAAATTCACAAATGAACAGGCAAAAAGTTATGCAAGCTAAACACATGTCTGGGGACATCAAACAAAAAGAAAATGAATATCTAAACACCTACTAGCACCTAGAAGCTTCTCTTCCTTATTCACAGACTGAGATGTAAGGTAATGCACACAAGTTGGGAAAGAGTGAATTATTTGGGGAAATCTGAATGTGTCCTTTTGAGACGGAGGGTAGACTCTAAGAAGTCTGTCTGGGCATGGTATGGGCCTCCAGTGTCTTCTCCTGTGGTAACTTAATCCTTCCTGGTTGGCTGAACTCCCAGGGAGAGCCTCACATGCTACCTTAGGAGAATCTGTGCAGGGGAAGCTGAGAGAAAGTTTTTTTCCTTGACTGCTTATTCCCAAATTCAGAGGAAGCAGAAGCCAAAGTAGCATATTGATCTGCCATTTTCTGAATTCCATAAGTGTTTTTATAACTGTAACTTTGTTATTTGACACATATTCACTGTGTTGTGAATATATATGGGCTTCCCAGAAGGTTTTCATCTGTCAGCCCATTAAGCAGTAACAATTCTTCCCTCAAACTCAGTTTTGAGTCATAGGAATTGTGTCTGTTACAGGAAGTATATGTTTAGAATTAGATTTTTTTTCTCTTTGGGTTGGATTTCTTTTTCTTCACATAATATTTGTTGCTTTGTAATGTCTATTAGAACTTGCCTTATTTCAATACTCCATTGTTTTCAAATTGTATATTTTTCTATATACCCATCACTTTATGTATTTTCAAGTTGTTTTCATGTCTCAGTCCTTGTAAATAATACTCAATTGACATTGACATTTAATTTCAAATATCTGTTTACCTCCTAGTCTTCAGCTTTTTTGAATGTTTGTCTGTACATGATTGCAGAGTCATACAGTAATTCTCTTTCATCTATTCAGTAACCATCAACCTTTCGTTAAAGCAGATGTACCATTTTTGCCTTCTCAGTATTGATGTGTGAGGGTTCCAGTTTCTCCACAGCTTTGTCAGTGTCTTCATTTGTTCCATTAATGCTGTTGTTATGACTATCTCTGTGTGAATTGTCACCACATTATGCAGTTTTGAGCTTCGTGGGGACCAATGAGATCTAGCATCTACTCACATGTTCGTTCATGGCATATTTGTATGTCTTCTTGGGGAAAAGCCTTTTATTTTTCAGATGTACTTTAGATATTTTTGCAGCCTTTAGATTTTTAAAAGTTTTCTGTGATGAGGTAGAAGTTAAAAATATAGTTTTTCTGATTTTAGACAAAATCTCTCCATTATTTTGGCTGAGACCAGCCTTTCTTATGGGAAGGGACAGTAATCACATACATGCATGATTCTTCCAGAGCCTGGAACTATACTCATCTCATAGGATTTGACCCTGTCATCAATGTGCTGATTTAACACTAGGTAGTGCTCTACACCTAGGTTTGCAGTGATTCTGCTTTATACTTAGAGACAGAAACTATCAGCTTGGTGGGGAGGGAGCTGGTAACTTAAAGCATGTAGCTGTCCTTCGTACATGTTCTTAGGATTAACTACTTGAGATTGGATAACCTATTATCAAGAAGTTCCTCCCTTCTTCAGAAGCCTGTAGTTCTCTCTCTCTCTCTCTCTCTCTCTCTCTCTCTCTCTCTCTCTCTCTCTCTCTGAAAATATAACAAAAATAATAATTATGTATATATGTAACCACAATAATTATAAAGATGTCATTAATTCAAGAAGGATTTAGAGGAAACACAACAAGAGTTGGAGTCTAGGGAGGTAAGAAAATGATATAGGTATGGAAATAGAATATTCACACAAGAAATCCACAAATCACAATCCCAGAGAACCTAGACAACAATGAGGGCTCTAAAAGAGACATACATGGATTTAACCTACATGGGTAGTAGAAAAAGACAAGACCTCCTAAGTAAACTGGGAGCATGGGGACCTTTGGGAGGGTTGAAGAGGAGGGGAAAGCAGGGAGGAGAGCAGAGAAAAATGTAAAGCTCAATAAAAATCAGTAAAAATTTCTCAAAATAGTAAAGAAATTAAAGACGCAACTGTCAGTCAAAGCTTACCACTTTCTATGGAATCTCACAAAACTCTTTTTATTCATTATGATAAATTTTGATGAGCCACTCTTTGGCCTCTTGGAGCTATACATGTCTGGAGATAGATGTAAATTCTACATCTCTACAGTGGTTATCAACTCTAACTTTGAGAAGCTGATTAAGTATAAACAGGAGTAGAGTGGTGCTTTCCCCAAATTGTTGCCTGACAAAATGAGCGGTAAAGGCAGGCCCAGCACATGACTGATTCCAGCCTAGCTCTGACTTTAAGGTATGCAGAACAGAAGTCGCACCATTGTCTTTGAACCATGGCAAGAAAAATCTCTACCTTCTGACTCTGAGCCTGCAGCCATCAAAAGGCACTGGAGTTTGGTGAAGACCCTCGTGGTCTGCCAGTGAGCATGAATGTGGAGTGTGGCTTAATATCATTGTCTAGTGGTTTGGAGATGCAATGAATAGTCCGTAATACATCAAGGTTTTTTTCTTCATGTAATAACCCAAAGGTTTTTTTCTTCTTCCACTGATATAGGTGGATGCTTCTCAGTGGGAAGAGAGAGCTGTAGCAAAATCATTAGATGGATAATATTTTCATCCTGTCCAGTACATGGATGCTGGACCACAAGTCAGGCTGAGCACTCGGAGACCCATTTACAAGGAGAGGGAATACTCAGAAACACATCAGAGTAATGTTAACCCTGCACCTGTCCCCTCCATTTAACCACTCTGGCCAATGCATAGAGTAGCATAGAATGTGTGTATGTCAGAAGGATAAAAGCAAATATTTCTAGATATTTCTAGCTGGACTTGTTTGAAATTTGGGCAACAGCACTGCAAGCATCCTGAACCTTACATGGGTTCTGTATTCTATTTCTTTGATTGTCTTTCTTGGGAAGTAGGGGATGCCATGGAACACACAGGAAATTTCATCCCTGATCTTGAAATGCTTCAATTTCTGTGACACTTCAAAAACTATCTGAGGAGCACAATCTTTAACACTGATTTACAAGCAATCTCTAGCAGTGTCTAGGAGCACAGTCTCTAATGATGTCTGAGGAGCACAGTCTCCAACATTGACTGAGGAGCACAGTCTCTAACATGAGGAGCACAGTCTCTAGCAGTGTCTGAGGAGCACAGTCTCTAACACCTTTACATGCTTCTGTCACTCAGCATGCTGGTCAGAAAATGAAACATACACTGTCCTTTTGCTATGAGGAGATCCTGTATCACTAAGCTATTAGAAGACACAGCTTAAGCTGACCTCACACCAGCAGCTTTCCTACACCGTTGATGGAGACCAAATGAACAAAAACCTGTTGTTCTGGTAATGAACTTCATACTTTAGATCTTCACCTGGTGTCATAGGCATGCGTTTCCTAAATGTGGGAGACTGGCAGCTTATCTTTGACCACGGAGCTACACCATTCCATGTCTCTGAGCACAAGTCTTCGCTTCGTTTCTCCTGCCAACTCCTAATGGTTCTCAACTCCCTCTCGCACCCCACCCCACCACTCAGGCAAGAAGTATATGTCTTTGTACCCAGTATTTCTCCAAATATGGAATAAAAATAGTCAAATGCTAAATAATGCAGTTAGTTTGTAAATTATATCTGAGGTGCCAATTTTTGAACATTTATAAACCTTAAAAATATTTTTAAATTTGCTTTCATTATAACAATATCCACAATGATGATTTCTAGGCCAAGAAAGATCTCTATATTAGAGAAAATATAAATCCTAACATTTATTCATTGGTGTTCTAGAAATGCAGGCAGTATGACAGTGAAGGCTTTGGAATGTAAAGCATAGTGAAGGCTAGTGAAAGTTCACTAACTGGAATTTCAGACAAAAGAAAACCTACCTGTGCTGAGGGCATCACTTTACCCCTCTTGGAATATATCAGCTAGTTTAATGTGGTGCCTGGATTATACTGTGCCAGAACCTGATAAAAAGAGCCACGCCCAAAGTGAGAGATAATGACAAGGACAAAGAGGTCACCAGCTGATAATGTGTCTTTGAGTTGCCTTTGTGATACTCAGGTAAAAACATCAATGGGACCTTGGAAGAAGGGTGTGAAGATGTTGAGGAAGGCCAGAGCTGCCTGTGAGGACACTGGATGAATTTTCATGCTGTCTGTGGTTATGCTAGCCATTCACATTCACAGTCCCTGCTCTACGACTGTGATTCTTAGAGACAGTAACGTCATTGTGGGAACTGTCATGTGGTAACAAGTAATGCAGCTCATAGGTCCTTGATGTCTTGGTGAGTCTTCTTCTCTCTTGACCCAGCCATGGGCACCAGGCTCCTTTGCTGGGCAGTGCTCTGTCTCCTGGGGGCAGGTGAGTTTTTAGAAAAGCAACGACTCCATTTCTGGTTCTTCTCTGGGGATTGTTCTGATCATTTCCAGTTTGAAACCACCATATTCTTTTCCCACAGTCCTGTCTGAAGCTGGAGTCACTCAGTCTCCCAGATATGTGATCATACGGGAAAGGCAAGAAGTTTCCTTTTGGTGTGACCCTATTTCTGGACATAATACCCTCTACTGGTATCTGCAGCCCAGAGACCAGGGCCTCCAGTCTCTAGTTTACTTTCAGAATGAGGCTGTTATGGGCGATTCACAATTGCCCAAGGATCGTTTTTCTGCAGTGCGGCCTGACGGAGTCAACTCCACTCTGAAGATCCAGTCTGCAAAGCTGGAGGACTCAGCCACATATCTCTGTGCCAGCAGTTTAGCCACAGCAGTGCAGAGGCACCTCCCTGCTCTGCACAAAACTGATGGCTTTCCTCAAGCCAGCATTCAGCAGAGACCTCTGCTTGCTAATCATACCCCATAGACGGAATGGGTACTTGGACATAGGCTATGCTGAATATAACCAGAGGTCACAAGTTCTTTCCTGAAACACGAGGACAGTAAATGTTTCAAAATAATATCCCAGAGACTCGAAATACTTCCCGGTGACAGTTCAAGAACCCCAAACTGAAAGTGACTTTGAATCTGGAGACACCTGTTTTGTAAAATATGCAGTCAGGAAACCCATCTAAAATAGTAATAGAGATGGAAGCTAACAGTGAGCAACAGGCAACAGACATTTCCCCTGGAGCAGGAACATCAGAAAGTTTAAAATGCTACCCTTGGTGACATCGTTATATGACATTTCTTCTATTTCTTTATACTAGAACTTTCTATGGAACAAGTTCTCTGTGCAATATGTTTGTTGGGAGGAATTCTTTCTACTCTTCCTTATATAGAAATATACTACTACTACTAATATTGTTGATAATATTTGTGTGTGTGTGTAATTTTAACTCATTTTAAGCAAGGTTTTAACTTCACAGAAATGCACAGAAGGGAAAATTTAGCAAGGGTTCCAGAGTTTTTTTTTCCGAATATGTTTGAATTCCCATGAATTTTTGGTTCTTTAGCCCATAGCTTCCAAGCTATGGGTTACAGGCATCTGACAGCATGCCCAACCCAAATCTCTGCTCAAACCAAGCACTACTTTCCACAGCGTGCTGTAACTTCACAATATCAGAGACACAGCCTCAAACTACTGCAGGATTGATCCAGGTAGTTCAGAGGCCGTTGGACATGTTTCATCTGTCTACTTTTATCTATTAAAATAGCACTTTAACATGCTAAAAATACACCTTGTAAGAGCTTCTGAAACAACCCAGGGCCCCCATGTTACCCCTGATGATACCTTCTTTATATATGTCTTTATATCTCTGTTAACTTCCTCCTGATCCCCTAAGAAGAGAGATCAGGCTGAACTGTTGGGAGTGCTTAAAGCAGAGCGCAGCGGGGACACTCTGCCTGCACCTCCACTCGCAGGCCCTCTTGGTATTCCTGCTGTCCGTACAGAGTCTAAGGGCAGGCAGTTCACAGCTTCTGTAAATTTTCATTCACTTTAGTTCATCTTGTCTATTTGGCCACAAGTTGTGTGATAGGTGACGATCATTCATCGTCTCTTTGTCAGAATCTAAAAATTAGACCAAAATAATGCCAATACTGATTATTTATTCTCTAACACTAACACATTATAAAACCTCACATCTCTTATACTCAATGAAGGAAGTCAAACTTCCCTGTGTAGAGAGGAGTTGTGTTGCTGCATGTCACTGGCCACTAGAATGCACTGTGGCTTCACTGTCACCTAGATTCTGTGTAGGGCTTAGAAAAATATAGTTAGATGCCATTCACCCTGGATTTTTTGTTTTTGTTTTTGTGACAGGGTTTCTTGCTGGCCTGGAGCTTTCAAAGAAGGCTAGGCTTGCCAGTCAGGGAGCCCCAGTGGTCTGCTTGTCCTGTCTCTCCAATATAGGGAAACAAGCTCACATCATGGCCAGCTTTTAAAATGCAGCTTCTAAGAACTGAACGCAGGCATTTTTTTCTTTTTGCAATTTTCCTTTTTTTAATTAAAATAAATTATTCTTTTATATACCATACCCTGATTACAGTTTCCTCTTCCTTTTCTCTTCCCAGTTCCTCACCACCTCCCCTCACCTCCAGATCAACTCCTTTTCTGTCTCTCATGAGTAAAAGAACAGATTAACAACTAAACATTTAAAAATAAAATATAATAAGATAAATAATAACCATCACATCAAGGCTGGACAAGAAAACCTAACAGAAGGAAAGGAGACCCTGAGAGAAGGCACAGAACTAGAGTCATTTGTTCAGTAAACTCAGGAGTCCAATAAAAATACTCAGCTGAAGGCTGTAACAAATACACCGAAGACCTGGTCTGGGCGAAAACAGGCTCATGCTTGCTGTTTTAGTCCCTGTGTGCTCATAGGAGCCTTGCTTAACTGCCTTAATTGCTTAACAGAGGGCCTTATCCTTCTGACATCCTCCATTTCTTCTGACTCTTACTCTCCCTTCACTTTCTCTTTGTGGGGTTCTCTGAGCTCTGGGGGGAAGGATTCAAGGGGGAACTTCCCATAAGGAGTTATCACTTCCAAGGTCTGTCTCTCTACATGATGTCTGGCTGTGGATTTCTGCTTCTCTGTTGATGTCTGAATCTATGAGTATAGCAAAATGTCACTCGGGGTTATTTCATTGATTTTTTTTTTTAAAGACCTGTTGTATTTAGTCTTACCCTGGGTCTCTAGGTTATCTAGTGTCTGGTCCCTGGTTACACAAGCATTATTGAGTGGGTGTAGGTTCCAGCTCATTGAATGGGCCTTAAGTCAAATTAGATACCATACTCCCACCACTTTGTGCCAGTATTGTCTGAGCATATTTTGCAGGCAGGACTGGTTGTGGATCAAAGGAATTTTGGCTAGGCTGGAGTTTACTTTTCTCTTCGATAGCCTGTGGAATACCTTCCAGCACCAAAGACAATAGAATGTAGAGGTGAAGGTTCTATTTAGGCGCCAGATAAGAATACGTGGTAAATAAAGTTTGCAACATTTTATTTGCAAATCTTTAAGAACAAGGCAATATTTGCTTGCTTCATTTTAGGGATATAGGGGAGATTGTGGAGTTCAGGTATTTGATATAATTCAAGAATAATGTATCACAGAGGTCTTTTAGCACACAGAACTTTTCAGTGTAACCAGTTATCAGGGAATCAACTCCTGCCCTGTAGTTTCTAACAGAGCTGATGTCATTCCTGTGGCGTTTGAAGGACAGTTCTTAAATGACCAATGGGAGATCTGAGTGTGAGTGTGACAATGGGAGGACTATACCACCATGAGGAAATATGGCAGTTTTCAGAGATGCTGGCTTGTGACAAGATAGTGAATTCATTTTTAAATACTTGGGGTTTGGAGTGCAAATGGAAATAACAGCTTCTTATAAGAGGAAAGGTATAGGGAAGGCATCAAGAATTGACAAAGCCAAACAAAGCTATCAGGAAACCCCAAACATGCCAGTCTTTGCCTTAGTTCAGTTGTAGTTGCATCCAGCCCTCTTTGATTCCTCTCCGGAGCTGCAGTCTTCCCTTAAAGAAGCTTTCAGGCTGGGACTGGGGTAGGAGGTGTTTGTGGTTGATTTGATGATGTCACTAACCAATAGAGACTCTTATGAGAATGCAGTTTCCTCAAAGTCACTTCTCTGCTCATGTAAAGCCCTGATTTGGATGTTCTTCACCTGGAGTCATCCTGCTACGGGCATCCAGGTCCTCTGCTATGTCGTCTTCTGTGTTCTGGTAGCGAGTAAGTCCCGAGGATACTTAAACATCATCACACTGGCTTTCCTTATTCAGGTCTCCCCAGAGTTTTCTTATTCTCTCTTCCACTTTGTCTTTTTAAATATAGATCACACAGATGCTGGAGTCACCCAGTCACCCAGACATGAGGTGGCAGAGAAAGGACAAACAGTAACTCTGACGTGTAAACCAGTTTCAGGTCACAGTGATCTTTACTGGTACAGACAGACCAAGGCACAGGGACTAGAGTTGCTGAGATACTTTCGCAGCAAGTCCCTTATGGAGGATGACAAGACAGGAAAGGACAGATTCACAGCTGAGATGCTAAAATCATCTGTTTCCACTCTGAAGATCCAGCCCACAGAACCTCAGGACTCAGCTGTGTATCTATGTGCCAGCAGCTTAGCCACAGAGCTACACAAGGATGCTCTGCCAGTGCAGAAACTTTGGGTACCTCTCTCCCTCCAGCCCCTATCTCTTCTGAGTGAAGTTTTCTGTGCTCCTTCATATTAGAAACCAAATGGAACTGGGGCATTGCAAAGACAGGGAATAATACTGCATCAACAAAGCAGAGCTTGGGTAGGAAATGATCTTGAAGGGAGTTCAGGGATTCCTCACGTATCGTTTGTGGGTTGAAAGCTCAAATGCCATGTAAATATAATCACCTGTGTTACAGATTCTGTTTTCTATTTCCAATTAAGCCAGGCAGTTCTGGTAAGGTCAATGTCCTGTAAACTGTTCTGTTCATTCATTCTCTTTTCACTCTGATTTGTAAAGACAGTATTTTAATGTTAATTTCAACTTAGCATTTCCATAGTATTTTATTTTTATCACACATATGTGCAAAGCCTGGTCCCAATGGCCATCTCCTGTAGTATTAGAATGCTTATGATCTTGATGTCCTGGATGGTCCCAATATGGAGACATCCCAAAATAAAAGAGTCTTTCCTGTCTTGTTTGTCCTCTCCTTCACAATTCCATCCCCTTAATTCTTGTTTATAGTTCCTTCTGATTTGTGTTATATACTCTGCCTGAGAAATGTGTCTCACCAGTTTTATCAAGTCCTGCTACTATCTTATTTCACATTGATGAGTTCCTATCAAGATGAAATCATGCAAAAGATGCTTATATTTGAGTCACCAAGGCAATTAGGTTGACCCACGTTCTGCCATATAGACAAATTCCTTCTCTCCTTGAGCTAATTGTGTCAGTTAAGTGCTGACTTTTGAATTGAAACAGTTCAGAATAGCATGCAGATGTTCTTATGTTCACCAAGAGACACACTCTACATCTCTCTACATAGCTATCCTGACTCCTTCTTGTTTCCTCCCGATTATTTCCCCCTCCTACTGTAAGCCTAACTCATTTTCACAGGGTATTTTATCTCATTTAGTCCTTCTGGGCTGCATTTACCTTGATGTCACCATCACATGGAAAATTTACTCCTTGTTTTATTTCTCCATTTTGTGACCTTATTACTCTGGAGGATTTTGCTTTCCTCCAAATATTTTCAAACTTGGTTTTGTGATTATAGTATATGCATGTTGAACAGAAGAAGTTTTTTTTTCCTCCCAT